ATTGTTTTTCGGCTTCTTGTTACCAGAGGGTCCTAATATATATATGTATTTTTACAATTTGTATTATAAAGTTTGTAAACATTCGGTCTAATGCTGCTTTCTTTTCTACACGTTTCTGCATGTTTGTTTTTGTTAACACCCATTTCTGAGTAAACATTAACTCTATAATCTGACATTCAGGGTTGCAGTAGTGAGTAGACCAATGAAAACAAGACACATGATGGAAAATTCTACCGTTCTTTAACCTTCTACGTGATTACTATTTTTTGATCTTTTCCACTAGCTGCCATTTTTAGAACAGAGGCCTTCAACATCGTTTTAGCTTAGGAATAACTTATCTAATGACGTAAATAAACGTCATAGGTCAACTTTATGTTTAGTAGTTTTTTGGCTCTTTGCCAAGAACACGAATAAGTCATCATACGTAACGTCTACTGTGAGCTAAAATAAATTGTTCTTGAGATGTTTTTTTCCCTGCTTGTGCAATATATTCCATCTCATAACATGAACATGATATAATCCATACATTCTGAATTATAAAACTATTTTTTTTAATGTTAAAAAGTTTCCTTTTGCTTTAAAAACAAAAGGAGATATCTCATAGATAGTTCGTGTAAAATAAGTTATGATACATTGTTTAATGACGTAATATTCCAGGTAAAATTATTAAAGATAATAAACACCAATAAATATTTCGCCGCACAAACAATTAGATAAAACTGTGATCATTTAATACATTACATACATCATAATCGAACATTATAACAAGCCATGCCATTATCTTTCTCACGTAAGTTAAGCTTTATAAAGAACACAGAAACTTATTCCAATTCATAATTGTGGATGATTCTATATTATTTGCATAACATGTAACGCATATCATCACTGCTGTTGTTACAAGTTTAATGGTGTATAACTTATAAGCTGTAAGTGTTTGCTTACTGGAGTGTTTTTATTATAACTTTTTATTTTGTTAATGAGAAAAGTTACTATGGAAGTATGAAAGGGAAATAATTGCCATAAGCACAAATGACTGCGTTGATATGTGATTTTTCTTTCACGTTGAACACTGCAATTCCAACATTCCATTTCGCTTACTTCAGCAAGTTACGGCGCTGTTGGGGAGGGGAAGGGGTGGTTTGGAACAAAGGTTGTAGTACACCAGAGCTCCGAAAGACTTTTAATATTCGTATTTCTAATGTATTATATATTTTCTTTATCAATTCTACGCTTAATCTTTTTTTTTTATACATTGGCTTATTTCTATGTTCCACGGTGATCCAACGGTAAACCTGAAAGCTTATAACTCTAAAAATTGGGTTTCGATATCCACCACAATGGGCACAGCACAGAGTGTGCAATGTGTATTTTTGTGCTTAATAATAAAGAAAACCTATTTATACGTACTTTAGTACTGAATTAAGAGTCTCCCGGTGAGTCAGCGATAAATTTAGGAACGTACAAAGGTAAAATAGGGGGTTCGATTCCCCGCAGCGGACAGAGTGCGGATAGATTATTGTGTAACTTTGCACTATGAAAATAACAACTGAACTAAGGTTTAACACATTCACGACATCGTACGCCCCCGGTGGTACATATGCATATTTTCTGTTGTACGTCATATTTCGAAATTCATATATGAAGCATTTATTTTATATGGACGACTATAATAAAACCACGCCTTCCATCATGTACCACTGGTAGAGCACGGATGCCATGTTGAAAGGACAACTGAAATAAAACAAATTTACATCTAGAGATTGGCATTATATTTTTTTGTTTGTGAGTAATTGAAGCAAAAAACCCCCCAAAAAAAACACTAAAAAATAAGAAACTGTTATATAATAAGGATAGAACTATTACCATCCACAGTAGTGATTATTTTATTTGATGTCCCTTTTTTAAGCCCATAAAATTGTGAAATATTCACAATTCTTCTAAAAACGGCAAGATTAGGCTTAAAAAATTATGATCATTTGATTATTATTATTAAATCATTGTGTACACCACCAGTGGCACATGACAGCAAAAGCTTAAATGGGTAAAGACAGGACATCATGTACCACCAGTGTTGCACACAGGAGAAAGTTCTCAATGCAATCATTCTGTCATAAAACATAACATAAAGCCATAAAATTAGCTGTATCTCGGCAGAGTTCACAATGAGGCCTTACGTTCCTATTGCATAATTAGATAAATCACTTACACTGCGAACGTGTTAAAGGGCTCCGTTATAAGCCTTTGCATCAGATCCACAAAAATCATAGCAGTAGGCCTGGCTTCAGCAGCAATATAAAACATTTTTGTGCAACCAACCATGAAATTAGAACTTATATTTCTATAAAATTCAAATACTAGCTTCTTTGCATGAGAAAAGCAAAAATGATTTAGAGGATCCAAGAGATATTACAAGGGGTTGTTACGCTGCTATTAAGTAACATAGTAGCAAAAGCAATAGCAAATCAGCATCAACAAAAAATAATTTTACTGTAAATCCGTCTTACCTGAAGAAAAACAAAACACCAGATTTCTACAAAAGGTATGATAACATTATTGTAAATGATTTCCAAAAACTTTATGAAATCCTTCTTACTACAAAATATTTGAAAGTGCAAATAACATATGCAAACTATAAGTAAACAAGAAGGAATCCTAAATAGCCGCGAGACTTGAAATTCTTTTAGGCAGGATTAGAGTAAATTAAGCTGTGATACTTTTGTTTCCCTTTTTATTAGCTATATTTTTGTGCGCCAGCAATACCAAGCGTGGGGCGCGCGTATACCCGATTCAATTTACTTACTCACCAGGATCTCTACATTCCTACCCTTAAACTGAAATTCTTTTAGGCAGGATTAGAATAATAAATTAATCTATGAGACCTTGGGCGTGGTCAAATGCATCAATCGAAAGGGTTTGGCCTTCTGAGTCCAAAAGTGTAATTAGATCTCAAATCAATCAAGAGATGACGGAGCTATGAGATAAAAATTTGTAGTAGAAAAAAACAAACAAACTCGGAGCCATTCTATGAGCCGCTCGGTAGCGGCTAAAAATGCAGTACATTTTGATAATTTTTATCTCAAATAGGCGAGAAAACATAAAGTTTGTTTACGTTTTACACGAAAAAAACTGGTGTATTTCAATGACGTTTGTTGTATTTAGATAATACTCATAAAGTTATCACTTTACACATACTATATGTAAAAACCACCTTTGAAAACACGTATGAAAACTGACTCGTTAAAACAGGTTTGACAGAACGATAACTTCTTTCTAGTTTCAACTTAATACCTAATTGTTTCAGACGTAAATAAAATATGTAAGAGAATTGAAAATATATGGGATTCGAAAGTCGTGAAATAACAAAAGTTAAACAGCGAGTTTCGAAGTTTGAAACCAAATCACTAAATTACTCAGTATATTTTATTTGAACTTTTTAAGGAATTTGACTACCATAAAATTGTTCTAAAATTTTCTGTATATGCTCTAAATGGCTCAGGCCATGACTCCGTATTTTTTCTTATATAATGGTAAAATTAACTAACTTTTTTTTTATCTTTGCTGTTTTTATTATTTTTTGTTTCACCCTGGATATAAAAAAACAGTGACAATAATATTGATAACTAGTAATCTAATGTTTAGCTAGCAAATTGTTTATTATCGAAGAGCATTAACGTTTTTAGACTAAAAATATCAAGTGGATTAAATTTTAAGTTCAGTAATTCTACGGTTGCATACTTTATATGTTCAATAAATAAGCTTAAGAAATAAAAAATTTAAAAACAATCATCCTTTTCCGATCACAAATCGTTTGAACGTTCATTTTTCATTTATTTGCGCCCGTCTAAAACTTTAGTACAAAACAAATATCCGTGTCTTATATATTAATTTAATATCAGAAAACCACTTAGACCCATTTTCTTCTGAAATCTTAAATCCTACATACATGGGCGTCTAAAGAAGTTTCTTCTGGGGGTGGGCAAATTCTAAAGCAACACAATATACATATATATACTGAATGAACAGAGAAAGAAATATATTTCTCATTTTCCGGGGGGGGGTGCCCCCCCCTGTGGATGCCCATGCCTACACGATATTTTCTTACCTTCACTTCTCAATAGAGTAAGTTTTACGCTAATGCTTATTATCATACATTTTCTCAAAACTATTTAATAAATTAAAACTGGAATCAGATTTAGAAGAAAAAAGTTGGTCAAAAATATGAACATTACAAAATGTTTGCAGCTTCTTCGGGAGCGTTTCGCTAAAACACAGACTGTAACAATACAAAGTTTCAATTGGTTTAAAAAGTATGTATAAATACGTTCATACATATTTCAATTAATTAATTATAATAGTTTAACATATCTCTTACAGCCCACGATGCATAAATAGTTTTTACATGGCCGAC